TTTTATGAGAGTATAACATTATAACATGATCTAAAACTCAAAAAAGTTGATTTTACATGATATTGCCCCTTTAAGAAATGGTTTCGCGCATTTTCTTCAATGCAAAAATAATTATTGATTTTGTTAGTTTTCCAAAATCAAAGAGCGCAAAGTGACTTTAACTCACCAGTTATATAAAGCAAGTTTGTATCATGTCAGTTGGCTAATGATAAATTTGGTTGTACCAACAAAGAGAAAAATATGCAAAAATGTGTACGAGAAGATAGAATGTATCCCTGCATGCACTTGTTTTGATTCATCTTATGCAAGTTGAATGATGTAGTCTATATGGAAAAATAAAAAAAACAGGACATTTGCAGTTAAATAGACAACCAWCTGTGTGACATTTAATCCTATAAACACTCCTGTCCTCTCCAGAATGATGTTCTTCACTGACTATGGGAATGTGGCCAAGGTTGAACGCTGCAACATGGATGGCACCAACCGGAGCCGATTGGTGGATTATAAAATTGAGCAGCCCACTGCTGTGGCGTTGGATGTAGTCAAGAAGCTGGTATATTGGGCGGACGCCTACCTGGATTACATCGATGTGGTGGATTATCACGGCAAGAACAGGCACACTGTTATCCATGGGACCCAAGTGAGTGTCACGTTTCACTGTGAGCTCAGCGTATTTGTCTTCCATGAATTACACATTTCAAGAAGGTATTATAGGCATCTATAAATGGCTTTTCTGATCAGCGCCATATTTTTATCCTTTAAAACATTAATTAAGATATGACAGAAGCATACAGTATGGGGTATATTTTAATGTCTTTTCATTTAGGGCATTATGCTTCGACAGGTGGTACATTCAGTGTCTGGTGTCATAACTCACTCTTCATTTTCATAGAAAAGGTCTTTTAAAACCTTGATGATTTATTAAATAGAAGGAACTGAGCCACATGTGGAGCTGTCTTCGAAATGAGCATATCAATAGTCTCTCCCGAGCTGTACACGTTTAAGTCCTTTCATCACACATTATGATTATTCATTAAGGCTATTTCAACCAACTTGGACTAAAAATTCACCCTGTATGTGAAAAGAAGAACATACATTTCAAGCACTTTATTATGTAGGCAGGTGTTCTTTGCATAATACTTCCTTGTTCACATTTGCTGGTGCCCTCATCAGAGTGAGGATCTTGATATTGTTGCATCTGCATATCAAATGCCATGCAGATTTTTTTTCTCATTAACTGTTTTTATGGTACTACCAGTGATATCAGTGATGAGAAGCAGCTGTTTTGCTCRGTTTCCAGTGTGAATAAAAACCTTTCTTTATTTTATTTTATTTTTTCATCTTAATTATTATGAAGGGAATGATTTTTCATGATTTTACTGGCTCTACAAAAGTAAAATTTCCACAAACTGTTGCTAACATTTTCTACTTTTCTTGTGTCATTTAAAATGTTTGATATTGTAATGTACATACAGCTCTGGAAAAAAGAGAGACCATTTTAAAATGATTAGTTTCTATGATTTTACTCTTTATAGGAATATGTTTGAGTAAAATGAACATTGTTATTTTATTCTATGAACTACTTACAACATGTGTCCAAAATTCCAAGCAAAACATTTGCATTTATCAGCAGAAAATGAAAAATGGTTAAAATGACAACAAAGATGCAGTGCTTTCAGCCCTCAAACAATGCATAGAAAACAAGTTACGTAATATTTATTTAGAAACAACAAAACTAATGTTTTAACTCAGGAAGTGTTCAGAAATCAATATTTGGTGGAATGCTTTCAAC